TGGTCCAGTCGGTTCAAGGTCAGTGGATCTTGTACGCTATCTTCTTCTTCTTCTTCTTTTCTTCTTCTTCTTCTTCTTCTTCTTCTTCTTCTTCTTCTTCTTCTTCTTCTTCTTCCTTTCTTTTATTTATTTCTTTCATTTATTTATTAAATCCTTCTTTCTTTTTTTTCTTTTTTTCTTTTTAAATCTTGTTAAAAGTTTTCATATTGTTTTGCTCGATATTTATTCTATTTCTGTGTTGTTGATCGTCCCCAGGCACTCTCCAGAGTCTGACAATGGACTGGGAGGACACAGACGGTTCAGTTGTTCCCTGCACTAACTTAGTCAAGAGGAGAGTCGTGTATGGGTCCGACTGGTATAACACCATTGACTTTGACTGTCCGGATATCTCCAAACCCATCAACAGGATCGTTTTAAAAGGAACCATTGGGCGATATGAACTTTGTTCAACATACATGAGTGACAGTGAGTACGAATAAAAGCCTTGCGCTCTACAGAGTCACTTTGGTTAACTTCACCTGTTTGATGTCGGGTGCATTATGGGAAATACTGCAAGTTATTTGCTCGAAAAAAATGAATTACCAAATTTTGTTTATTATTGTTCTCGCTTTTTTCACAGAACACACAAAAATAGTCATTACAAAGGCAGACAGGGGTGGCTTGGGTTTTATACAAAAAGTCAGCAACATAGCACACCTCAGATACACGAATGTCACAGCACGTACAGCCAGTAATGTTACAAATAAGAGAAGAATTCTCGTCAGAGTCCATACAGAGAGCAAATACCCGCCCTCGTGTTAAGTAATAAAAAGACAAAAGGGAGGAACATTAATGGCGAACACAAATGCCAAAATGAAGGGAACAGATTTGGAATGTGTCTAAAACTTAAACTTACACGGAATAATATCATGGCAACAAGAATAGTCATACTATTTACACATAGAGCGGTTCACATTGCTTTGGGATAAAAATGATACTGCAAGCAACCACTATCTCGATGACCGCGAGCAAAGATTTAATAAACTCTCCAATTTTGCATGGATCTGTATCAAATTTTAGAGGCATTATGTTCAATCATCCGGATGCCAGAATCTATGCTTAAATCCGAACTGGTCAGACGAACACCGCTGCATCAGCCATATCTTGTTTTACGCTGAATTCTGTCCGCAAAGAAGCTTCAAGACTGTTATTGCGGGGAGTAGGAGTTGATTCCAGATCCATATCTAGTGCACTTTATAAAAGAGCTCTTTGGGTGGTAAAAATAGTTCAAAGAAAGAGGATGGCTGTACGAACGTTTAAGGAAGGGAGTAAAAGCATTTTCAAAATGTTGTCTAAGCGCTAGGGAAACTAATTATCATGGTGGTTTTTTCTGGAATTGTCTTCAGAGAGAAACTGCCCCGCTGGATGGTACGGACCCAAGTGTCAATACAAGTGTCGATGTTCCTTGGAGTTTGAATGTCAGGATGACGGGACGTGCTTGTCCAGCTGCCAGAAAGGATGGTTTGGTCCAGCCTGTCAGTACAGTGAGTGCAAGGCTTGTCTGGGACAAGGAAACCTGGCACTGAAACAACGGGGATGGGTTTTATCTGTGTTAGGGCGTAATGAGTTATATAGGGAGGGGGAGAATGAGGAGGAGGAGGAGGAGGAGG